GCAGAAGCATGGGAGATTGCAAAAGAAGAATAATCCTATCTTGAGGGGTTCAAATGACAATGAAAATTTCCTGAGTTTAATGTGCTTGCAGCAACACTTTTCTCTGTGTTCATCCATATAACATTGACAGGAAAGCAGCACAGTCTCAAAAGTGGGGGGTAGTGGGATGTTCACCTGTTTCCTCGTATGCTTTAAGTTTCTTTGTGTTTAAAAGCTAAGATCAGATATGCAGTTTGTCAAGTACCAGGCCTTGCTGAGGAGGGTACAAAAACCAGCTTGTGGCTTTGTATCGTGCACTGCTTTGAGAAGAGAACACCTCTTGCAGAGTTATTTAGGTCTTCGGACCTAAAGCAAGATGTAACACTTACTTTTCACAATAAGCCTTTATTCTGTCTGAGCCTCTCTAGTCCAAACCCAACAATATGATTAAATTTTCCTCAATTTTTCAGGGTTTTTTATCTCATAATCACTCCAACTGGAAAGACCATTACATAATTTCTTCTGTGCATCAAACAAGATATTTTGAAGTTCCTACAAGGTGCAGCTGCAGAGCACACCAGCAGTGGCTGCATGCAGCAGTGTGGAAGGGCAACAAGCATGTTGAGTGCCCGCAGCAGGACCTGCCTCTCCTGGGATGTCTGTGAGGAAGACGGCTGGTGTTTACACGTCTGGCTTCCATGTGCCAAAGCTATGCTTATACATTGCTTCAGCAACAATAATATTGCTATTTCAATAATGAGTTATTTTACATGCTGAGTTGCAAAGATTCTGGAACAACTATTATGCTTATGCAGAATGTTAAATACACAAAGTGATCACTTGTTTTCCATATGGGGAAAAACTTGCCCTTTGATCTTAAACACATGAAGCTGCTGCTTGCCTGTTTGAAACAATACATGAGGGTGCTTTTACTTTTCAACATTTTATCTTGCAGTTGCTTTCACTCTTTGCCAAACTGGTTCTGCTCAGAAATTAGAGTGAAACAAGACTGCATTTTTAAATCATGTTGCAGGCAAAGAGATAGCCTTATACGAATTTTACTTTAGCAGAGCAACTTCCTTTCACACATGCCAATCTTGTAAGCACTTATTCAAGTGTTCAAGGCCAGGCTGGATGGAGCTTTGAGCAATCTGATCTAGCTGAAGACGTCTCTGCCCACAGCAGGTGGGTTGGACTAGATGGTCTTTAAAGGTCCCTTCCAACTCAAACCATTCTATGATTCTATGTGAATAGTTTAATCAGTGATGATTACGCGTACATACTGCCAAACACTGCATACTTCCAAGGCTGGAGAAGAAGCCTTGGAGATCCCTTTGTTAATCACACAATTAAAGTTTCCTGGAGCTTCAATATACAAAGTACTAGCCTTCAGTATTTCCATGGAATGTAGTAGTAAATAGGATTTTAATTTCCACAACTAGAGGACAGGTAGACATGCATCTCTGCTAGAAGGAGAAAAAAACCTTTCTCACTACAAGAAAGTGCAGTTAGTTGGTGTATCTCAGCTAAGAATGGCTCTGTGAGAGCCAAGAGAACATCTCTCTATGACTCCCAACGCAGCCTTCAGTGCACTCAGTACAGACACCCCATCATGAAACACTGTAGTGTTGTTTCCCTATATTAACCGTGTGAAGCTGGGATACATGGCAATTTTGCCTCCTACAATTCATAAAAGGTCACATTAAAAATTAGTACAGGGTAGGTACTGAAGAGCTTTTCTAAATTCTGAGCCTCTGAGAGTCTGAATTCTTAGCTGTCTTTAAAATATTAACTCAAGTATACCTGAGAAATTTGTGAGAGTTGAGAATTGGTCCTTCCTAGGCTAGGAATGATTTAAGCTATGTATGGGACCAAAACAGAGCACTCATACAGCCAGGAATTGTTCTCAGTTGAGATACACCAGCTGACTGCACCTCCTTTTAGTGAGAGCGCTGTTTATTTTCCTTCCAGCAGAGATGCATGTCTGCCTGTCTCCTAGTTCCTCAGGAAGCCTAACAAGTGAAAGAGTGGATTCAGGGTGAGCCAAAACTGTTGTATATATTTATGTGTAAAAAACAAGTCCTGCTCTTTTCATATATTTTGGGATCCGTTGTGAACATTTATTTATGTAGCTTTAAAGAACAAATGCTGAGCAGGACTTGATTTGACTGATGGGCATCTTGATTTAACTGAAAAATCATGTAACAGTATCCATCTATTCATATAACAGCATACAGATGAAAAAGTAACCCAACCAATCAATGTATAAAAGCAACAGAAACCCTTTTCAACTTAACAAGATCATTTAGTCAAACCTTCCTATAAAACTGTATGAAATAAATATGTTTTAGTACACCCAGAGCATCACTGAGCTCAGACAATCACAGGCAAATAAATAACCAACCACTCGTTTGTTAAAATCAGCATATTAATCTCTGACAAAACTAAAGTTATGCTGGCTTCTTTTATAAGAGAAATTCATAAAAATCACAGTCCTGTGTTGGCTAGAAGGAACTTCCAGCAGTTATCTTGTCTAATCCCTGAAGAAAGCAAGTTCAATTACATCAGCTTGCTCAGGATCATGTCCAGTCAAGTGGTGAGTGTCTACAGGGAAGGAGACTCGGTGGCCTCTCTGGACATCCTGGTACAACACCTGACTGCCTGCACAGTTACATTTTTTTTTCTTAATATGTTATTGCAATTCTTACATAAGAAGCACTGAGTATCACATTATTTTATTCCTCAAAGTATAATCATCAAGGGTTTTCATTCACTTTTTTTTTTTTCAGCTCACTAGACCACATCACTCAATCCATTAGGTTAAGAACAGTGGGCTTCATGAGCTGGGATAATGGGATAGTCTGCATCCTTGTCCTCCTAGTGCTAATCTCTCATAGCTATTCCTCCTTATCCCAATAACCTCACTGAGTTTGTCCCTTTCAGTTGTAAACCTAACATTAATCATAGAATCCTAGAATGGTTTGGGTTGAAAGGCACCTTAAAGATCATCTAGTTTCAATATCAAGGCCTCTCAGAATAGTTTCACAGTTCTCTGTAGTATCCTCATTGTCTGGATTTCTTTTATCAGCACTTTCTTTCCTTTTATTTTGCTCATTATTTTTGCTGCAACCCAGGCAGGAACACAGCTAAACCACTGTTTTTGCTATAATGATTGGTTTTACTTTGCCTATAACTCAACTTGTTCATAGTTCTTTTAGCTTGTCAGTTTTATTTTATCTTACTGAAAATGCAAAAAATCTCACCAAACCTTGGCCGATAAAGTAAAAAAAGCCAGGATGCTTGTTAATGATATCTTTATTATATAAATTATTATGTCTTGTCCAGCACTGAAGGATTTTCCAGCAATTAGCTAGTATTTTCAGATACAGAGACGCTGTGTAGCTATTTTGAGGGCTGACATACAGCTGTTTTCAGCTGATATACTCAGGAGTACTAGTTTGCCTGTGGAGCACTTTTTTTCAGCTCAAAGCAGCGATTAAATACCTAGGCACAGATTCAGATGTCCAGAGTACAGCACTTTCATTTGGAAATGTATTTATCATGTCTTTAGCAGGTTGGGTGATGTCTTTCCATGATGTTTCCCCTAGCTGTGGCCATGGTCCAGTGGGTCACATGCTACACCTGCCCACATTATTAGCTTTTTTGGCTTAGGTGAAGAATGGGCATTTGTAATTAAATACCTACAGGTTCTGTTTGAAGACAAAAAAGGCTACTTCAGCCAGCACACTGTAATGCATGTACATCCAGGGTGGCTGTAAGGTTTTGGTAAGAATGTAGAAAACCAGAGAGAATTACAAAAAAACTGAATATTCACATATTTTTTAGAGTTGATGACTGGGAGTGACCAAAAGGTCACTTAGGTTTTGGAACAGTACCAGTGACTGCAGCACTTCAGGAGACTGAACTTTCCCATGTCTTTGGGACCTGGGAAGAGCAGAGCCCATGACAGGGCCCTGCAGTTGCAGGCATCATACAGAAAGGGCTGTGGTTGCAATGGGTAGACTATGGTCTGGCTAAAGAGAAAAGCCAAAATACCTTCTGAGTCCCTGACAATTTGATCTGCAGGCAGACTTTTTCCTAACTCCAGACTGACCTTTGATCTCCAGGACAAACAAGAAGTAAAATGCAGCTTTTTGCTTCAGAGGAAAGGGGAGAGTAGAACCAAAAGTATTTGGTTCATTTTTCTTCATGGACAAAAAGAAAAAAACTCCAAACCTTCCCACTCAGTTGCTTCCAACTGAAGTACTTACGTGTGAGTTTCATTTCTAATCATCTTGCTGAGGACATGACAGTATTATCAAAGCTTCTTCTGAAATTTCAGTTTTGCAATAGCAAGAAAAAATAAAATGAAAATGTCTTTAGACAGAAAACATTTATAGAGACTGAAGGTAAAATGACTTTCCTGATTTGTTCCTGTATTTTCAGTTGTTGCTACAGCCTGTTGCCAGTTGCCTCAGGAAACCTGCAGCTGGTTGAATGCACATCAGGTGACACCTAAATAAAGCACCTGAAAGTTTCTTTAAACAGTTTGATTTTTCAGAATTTAAAAAAAAAGTAAATTTGGTAACTAAAGTCCATATGAGTCTGCTTTGTCATGGAGTAAACTTTCCAATGAAGTTCTTTGCAATTCACTGTCTGGACAATCACAGCAGATCAGACCAAAGCCTGTCCAGCCCTTCCAGCAGTGGGTGGTAGCAGATACCAAAGGAAGACTCTGTGAAGGTGCCAAGCTGGTTCCTTACCAGCAGGCTGTGGTTCAGGGGCTTTCTGAACCTCTCAGACTGTGGACCTGAACAGAATCTGCTGCTATCAGCTTGCCTAATCACAGTTGAACCAATGTGTACTTTTAGCATGCATATGAACTGTGAATAATCTACACAACTTAAGTAACAACTCTATGAAGATGTATATGTCCATTTGTTTGCCTGAACCTACTCTTTAGAAACTGCACTGTTACCACCCCGTGTGACCGTGTGACATTCTGAGAGGTGGTCAATTACCATTCCTGTTCATTTGCTTTGTTTGCATTTTGACTTTTTAAATCTTTATTGTATGTTGGTACAGAATAAATCTTCTTTTCAGGATCTAGGGAAGATGCAAACAGAAGCGAGCTCCAGCTTCCAAATTCTAATCCAATAACCATTGAACCCAGCCCATGTCAGGCCAAGCAGGTTTGCAGCATTAATGAATGCCGGTGTCTATTTTTCATGACTCACAGTGGGGTGATGTGTCTGGAATAATCTCCATCTGCTGGTTTCCGTAGCTTCATGATCAGATCTGTTCTTTACAGCTTACACTATAGAGCTGATATGGTCAAATGCTTTAACTGTGTATATAGTGCCTAATATTTACACTTTGCACCACAGGGACAACAACATATTGTTGTTACATAAAGGGACACCCCCATTTCAAAATATAGTTGCAACCCACCTGATAAAGAGGAGTTGACTGGGATAATATAACCCTATTTTAAAACTGTCCTTTTTTGTATTATTCCAGTTCCTAGGTAGGTCTCAAATCAGATGTATGGGGGGAAAAAGGGGCTAAAATTCAATATTTGAAATGGTATTACAAAATATCTGAGAGGAAAAATTGTCTAATTGTCAAATATACTGTGAAATTTTCCCTCGATTTGTAAAATAATGATACAGTGTGAGTCACAGAATCACAGAATGGATAAAGCTGGAAGGAACCACAGAGGGTCATCTGGTCCAACCTCCCTGCTCGAGCAAGGTCATCCTAGAGCACATTGCACAGAATTGCATCCAGACAGCTCTTGAATATCTCCAGTGAGGGAGACTCCACAACACCTCTGGGTGATATGTTCCAGTGTTTGGTCACTCACAGAGTTCTTCCTCATATTCAGGTGGAGCTTCCTGTGCATCAGTTTCTGCCCATTGCCTCTTGTCCTAATTGCTTGGCACTACTAAGCCTGCCTGCATCCTCTTGACATCCTCCCTTCAGATACTTATAGACTTTAATGAGATCCCCTCTCAGTCATCTCTTGTAGATGCTGAACAGACCCAACTCTCTCACCTTTCCTCCTACAAGAGATGCTCCAGTCCCATAATCACCTTTGTTGCCCTCCACTGGACCTGCTCCAGGAGCTCCATGTCTCTTGTGTGCTGAGGAGCCCAGAGCTGGACACAGAATTCCAGATTTGCCTCATCAGGGATGAATAGCGGGGCAGGATCACCTCACTCAACCTGCTGGCAATGTTTTTCCTAATGCACCTCAGGATACCACAGTCCTGCAATACACATGTATAAGAAGTCTTCAGCTCATTAGTCTCTGGAAAAATCAAACTGCTGCTCACAGCTTTGGTGACTCCTGGTCCCCCTGGTGTCAGCAGACACTTGTCTTGCATACGAGGAGACTGAAGCTGGACAACTACTGCACAAAAGCAAACAACTTGCTTTTAAAAAATTCTTCCACATGTTGAATGTATGTGATAGATTTAAACAACATCATAAATGTAAACTGTACTTGAGAAAACTGTGCAGCTGGTAGATTCCATAAAGATAAAAAAAAATGTTTCCATAACATTTAATTTCAAGTTGACATTTATATAACAAAACCATGGTAAAGCTATGTTTAGCTGAAGTTGTTTGCATACTTTGCATCAGCATTACCAAAGGCTCTCTCCCTCATTTATATAGTTACCACATTTTGGTAACCACATTTATATAGCAGAGGCAAGAGCTACCACAAAAGGAAAACTGAAAACCAGGGAATTTGTAACATTTGGATAAACAAGCCATCAATTCTGGTGTTGTAACTAATCAACAACTGCATGTGTTCACTTTTGACTGAAGCAATTGCTGTTTTGAGTAACAGAGACACATAGCAGACTTTATACCAAGTTCTTGAAACTGTGAAAATACCCCAGTTTATATGATTTTAGTTTGTCAGACAGAAACACACTATTTTATTTTCCTTAACAAGCACAAGGTCATAGAAATGTATTTTTTCAGTCCTATTGGTTTAGTAGGAAAAGAGGCTTAACATAAACAGATTCCTTCTTGACCGCCACTGTGATACAGAGAGGGTTCTTGGGAAGTTTTCCTTGATACATTATGCTTTTTAAAAGATGCAGAAACACGAGTAACACATCTGTAGGATAACATCCCATCCCTGCTAGAATGAACAAGAGTTTTGCTGTTAACATTAATAAGGTTAAGATTTCCTGAAAGGAAATCAGCTGCTTTTCTTTTGTTTTGGTTTGTTTCTTGTGTAACAAATCTGGTGTTTGAGAAACATGCAAAGCTATAGCAAAGATAGGTCTTTACTGCAGTTAAAGGTGAGAAGATAAAGTAAGACCAGAGCATACGTCAGCTTGCCGTGGTAAGCTTTAAACGAGTTCTGACAAAGTGCAGCCAAAGAAGCACAGAGGTTAGCTCAGGCTAGTTGTCCCATTATTCACCCAGCTTTCCAGACAGGCTGTGTAATTCATACTTGTGCTCTAGCCTGGCACAATTTCATTACTCTCATTACCCAGGTTGACTGCATAGAAACTAGCTCATGAGTGCCCACAAAAGCGCCTGCTGACTTCATCTGAGATTTTTAAGGTGTAAGAATGCAATTTACAATACAGTATTCAAAATAAATTTCTCAAAGGATCTCTTACAGAAGAGTAGCAGGTTTATCTTCATCATCACACAAACAAAGACACCCTTTGTAGACCTAAGGAAATATAAGTTTTAAAAAAATAACGGAATGTCTTTAATAAACGCTATGAAAAAAACTGACAATTTCAATGAAATAGAAAATTTAGGAAAAGCTGTGCATCATGATCAGCAAATTTCAGGGCTCGTACTGAGTGTCAACTAGGTTACATGACACCAGTGAACGACCAAAATACAGAGGAGCCATTTCTCATCAAAGAATATGATGAGTAGGAAGGGACCCACAGGGATCATCAAGTCCAGCTCTTAGCTCTGCACAAGACCATCCTCAAGAGTCACATCATGCGTCCAGTAGTGTCATCCAAACACTTCTTGAACTCTGGTAGGCTTGGTCCTTGCAAATCTATTAATAGAAATTAATCCAAAAGAAATAAAAGAAATAAATCACACACCTTGATATTCAATGAGTTTCAGTCGCAGGAAGATGCTGAGGACATTGTTTCAGGCAGCACTTCCATATCTCCCTCTTTCTGTTGGTATCCCTGCTACAGTGCTTTGAATAACATCACAGGCAGTAATAAATACAACATAGCACTAATCAGCTCTGTTTATGAAGGGAAACTACTTTCTTAGTAAAGCTTCCAGCTCTTCTGAGAAACCTCTAGTGTTTCAAATAATAAGTATTTTTGCACACAAGGGGCAACAAAGACAAACCTTGAAGTCAAAGGAATGTGAGCATGGAAATGGTGCAGAATAAAGTCTGAAATGAAGAATCAGTTTTCTGCTGTGATGGCTGCAAAAATGCTAAGGTCTTAAGGGAACATTTGTGAAGGGTGTTTAGCTGAAAAAGATGGAAATAGGTATTTAGTGAGATTTTTCAGAAGTTCCTCAAATTTTGCACCTTCTACAGTCTTCCTTCAAAATCTAGCCCAAGTAATGTGATTATAGTTTTATTCTTGTTGCCCTCAGAGAAATTTAGAGCATTTCAAATGTGGTGTTATGAAAGATAATATGGTCTGACTACAGTTTGATAAGAATATTCACTTGTATCACTCAGTAAATAATGTGCAATGAAAGTAGTGATACATTACTGGTAACTGTTAAAACCAGCACACAGCAATACCTAAGAAGAGTGATTGAAATGAACCGTGCAGCTTAAAATATCTTCCCATTGTTAAAAAAATACATTTTACAGTATTAAATCAAAAGGTAGTTTAGACAGGAATCTTTAGGAGATAAGCTGTAGTTCCTTAAGTGTGTCTGGAAAATGTTCCACATATGGGAAGCATGGTTTTGTATGGAGTATTACAGGTTTAGATATGACATTAAGAGCCAATCACAATTCCAAATTATTTTAGGACATCAAATCCATGTTTTTTCCAGCTCATTTTCTGTCTTGCAGGCTTCTCTCCAAGTTACTAACAAGTGTGGATGAGCGACCATCAGCTTAGCTTCCCAGATCTGAGTGTCACCATGAGAGGAGCGCCCAGTGAAGAGATACTTGATGCTACTGAGCTGGAGATGGAGTGCAGGGAACAGCACTGTGTTTACAGAGCCCCTGTGTGGGTTGTGAAAAAAAAAAAAGCTTCATTTTTCACTTCAAAAACCTTGACAAATCAAACCCAAAAAGTTTGTAGGCCACGTTATTGTTAAGATAGCCTTGCAAACAAACTGAAGGAAACTAAAGGTAGCATATTATGTTGGATAGGACTGGGAATAATGAATTACATGGATTATTGACATAAAATATAATGGAGACTTATTTAAGAACACATTAAATGTAATTAATTAAATTATTATAAACTGTTTCTTATATAATATTGTGTAACACCAACAAAACCCAAAACAACAGAGATTATCTTCAAGTGTTGCAAGTGGTAATTAAATGGTTTTACACATTGCGTGAGCAAAGAGTATTTTTGATAGTAAGAGATAAAGGCTGATAAAGATGACTTTAGTCCCCAAAATAATAGCAAGATGAGAATGGAGGGCTCACAGAGGGAATACTGTAAAGATCCTCAGCATGAATGTAGTGAGATTCTGCAGTGAAGAACTTTCTGGGAGCATGGGTGGGTTCTTATTATAACTTTGCTTCAGGTCATGTAACTGTCTACTCCTGTCAGGAGGGTCAAGAGAGGAAATGTAAAGACTAGATGACAGTAGAACACTTGCCAAGGGTTTGCAGCAAAGAGATCATCCAACAAGAAACAAACAACTGGATCCAGCATTACTGAATCAGAGCAATAAAAGAAATAAAGGATCAAATAAATATTTTCTACTGTTTTGTTCTCTATTGAATAAGCATATTTCATTCTTTCATTTTTCTCTAAGAAAATAAAGCTAAGAGAATTTTTCTATTCCAGAGTGGTACTCTTCCATATGCAAAGGTCTCTGCTATTTGGATTGTATGTACTGTTGACATATCTAGTGATTATATAATGCTGAAATTACAAAGTCTTACAGACTAAGTAACAGCTTTTACTGAACTTCAGAACAGAAGGAAAGTAGCTATAAATGA